CCTAATTCCATAGGGAAGACATCTTAAAAGACTGCATTCTCCCATATGTACCTGCTCAGAGTGCTTTCACTTGTACCAAGGTACACTTGTACCAAGGCAAGGTTGGTGGGTACTCAAGACAGGCTTTTTTTTTTTTTTGGCTGTTGTACCACCTGGATTATGGAGCATCTTCCCAAGGGGAGTTAGGCCGGCTCCACCTATGTTGATTTTTTTTTTAAAGCAAAAACTACACAGTTCTGACTTTTTTTTTAATTGACTGTTGGAGAATATATAGATCTTCTTTTACGTAAATCATGTTTTTAGTTTTCTAAAAAGAGTAGATTTTTCTTAACGATTTTAATAATTACAAATCTGATATGGAGATAATGTGTAGCCTGCACAATTACATTGTAAACGGCCCATAGAGTACACTGAGCTCATTGGAGAGGTATATAAGCAGCACATTAAACAAACAAACGAACAAACAAATCCATCCATCCATCCATCCATCCATCCATCCATACATACATACAGTGGTCCCTCGCTTAACGAGAGCCCTGTTTAATGAAGATCCGCATAGCAATTTGTTTTTTGTGATCGCAAAAGCAATCGCATTGTGATCTTTTTAATGGCAAAAAATCACTTTGCGATGATTGGTAAGCGTTTCGCTGATCGGCGGTTCCAAAATGGCCGCTGGAAAAAATGGCCGCCCACAGTGTTTTCGCACCCTTTTCTCACATACCGGGCAGCGGAAATGGCGGCTGCATGGAGGATTTCCGCATACCAGTGAGTTTTTTGCCCACAGGAACGCATTAAACGTGTTTTAATGCGTTCCTATAGGGTTTTTTGCCCCGCATAGCGACGAATCCACATAGCGACAAATTTTTTGGAACGGATTATCGTCGCTGTGCGGGGCACAACTGTACATACATGCCACTCTTGACACTATGCAGTCATCCATTCAAAGTAAACCTATTTATCTAGGTCGCTAATGAGTGAATTCCCATTTACAAAGATAACACTCCCAGGGCTATATTCTGGGCAAATTCATGGCCCAAAAGATAAATTCTTTCTAAGAGATCATTCCCTACTGCCTCAATGCACTGACCTACTTCTCCAAAACTCTTTCTCCATATCAGTACTGGAACTGGCAGCATGGAAGTGGGAACTCATTACAGTGTCCCTGAAGGTCTCCTCTGGACACACTCTCAGCTTCCCTTGGCTTCTGCAGTTCAGCAACTTTGGCCTCCAGGGAATCTGCCTCCTGACAGCTGAGCGTTCAATGCACCAAGCATATTATGATAATGTCCTTCTAACAGCCAGACATGTACAGTACAAAAAGACTGGATACCCTCCGCCCTATAGAGAGAAGCACATCTACTGTCTTTCTCCTTTGTTTATGAAAGATTGGTTTGTTTGTTTTTAAACTACATCAGCAACTCTCTCTCTCTTTCTCTCTCTCATCTTAGCCTCCCCTCTACACAGCCAAACTCTCCCAGGGGACATGGCATATGGCATGTGTGCTCTTTATGATTGAAGTGGGAGGTTTGTAGATGCTGATTATGCACTACAGTGCTCAAACAGAGCACAGCATCATCATCTCCATTGTTTCAGGTCAAATCATATACCATGAGCATTGACAGCAACCGTGAAATCTTCAGCAAATCATCAGCAAACCACTGACTATAAAATCAAGCCTACCTACACTCACAGCCTATAGTACTTTTTACTGTAGAACCACCACTCAAAATGCTAAAATGAAGCTGAGAAAGTAGATACAAGGCACATACGTTCTAGCACAGTGGCTCCCAACTTTTTTTTAGTTGTGACCCCCTTTTATAATAGCCAAATAACCTGTGACACTGCCTTATTTGCATTAAAAGGGCATTTTAATGGGGCAAATATTCATCCCCTTTCAGAAACCAGAAGTTTCTTTCTCCCCGAAAGGTCCTGTTTCTCATACACATGCTTATACATTAACTTTAATATCCCACTCTGAAAGGTCAAGGAAGAAATGATTTAACACGGGCTATACAGTAATACATACAATGTGACCCATGACCCCTAGAAAACATTTCGCAACCCCCTGGATGGGAAACACCTGCTCTAGTGTGTTGCATTTCTCATACACAGTCCTCAGTGGGATTCACCCATGAATTTAGACATCAGCTCAAATCATGGGCATCATAGTGAGCTGCAATTAGGGAAACAGGGGAAGCAAAAGGTATTCAGACTTACACTGCACTCAAGCATAAATAAAATACACTTACAATCTTGGTATGAAGCTGCCAACAAATGAAAACTCTAGGGAGAAGGGCACAGAGAAGATAACAAAATATCTGACAGGCCCCATTTCCCCAACTAGCACTCATGGCAAGGAGAGACAGAAATGAAACCTTATATTAGAAATGAATTTTAATCCCCCATTTAAAGAGGGGAAAGAGAAACAGATTGTGGAAATGGCTTGGATAATATCCCACATTCTCCTCCCACATCTTCTTCATGTAGTCCTATCGAAAGTTAGACATGTACTTAGGATGAAATCATATTAAGATATGAAAATATAGCGATGCAACAGAGGCTCACTAATTCTATGTCACATATCAAGCAAACTGTCTTATACTTTTCAAGACTAACATTCATATATGCTCTAAATACGATTTGTAAGATCATCAGAGTGGAAAAACATTTGGTCGTCCAGCTATCTTGGGCTACCACATGTTTCCGTTAGCCCTACCAGCTGAGATTTCACACAGTTGTAACCCAAAGCAGCTGGAAGGCCCAAGGTTCTTTGACCTTGTCTTAGATGTTTCCCAGGAGTAGAGCCAGGCTGTGTAGCCTTGGTCAAGCTGCATAGTCCCAGGGCATCCACAGAAGAAGGGAATGGCAGACCATTTCTGAGTACTATAAACCTAGAAAACCCTGGAAAGAATTGGCATAAGACAAAACTGCACACCATTATTATTAATGTATAACGCTTCTATTTTTTACGCGACAAGCTGGTTTTAGTTGGTAAACCTTTTATCATAATTCAATGTGTATGTATACAAATCTGTTTTAATTTTGCTAATTTTTATGTGTGTTAAATTGGATAATGAAGTAATTAAAAACTAGAAAAAGTTCCTGAATAACATAGGCATTTTCATTTTGTTTAGTTTTTGTTTCAGCACAAGCCATACATATATATTACTCTGTCCACAGTGCCAAACTTCCTTCCTCCATACAAGACAAAAGATGTGGGCAGGGTACTCCATCCTTCAGGTTTTTAAAGGATATGTTTATTTTTCTAAAATCACCTGTTCTTTGTGTATATAGCACCAAAACTGGGCATGTAATTGCTTTGTGGGTCAAGTCACTGACAAAACTTCCATTTACACATCTAAAACTACAACCTAAACCATGCTGACAGGCACTACTGCCAAAGAGAGCCAGCTCAGATGTCTCCACTCAGCCCTTTACTGTAAATGTGCCTCTACTTCTTGAGGAGACAAAAATGCTTAAAGATTTTAAGTGCCAGTTCCATATACTGAGAACAAATGGATGTATATTTCTCTTCAAAATTATATTTATTAATTGAAAGAGAAATTACATTTCTGATGATCTGTATATAGTATATCCTATATAGTATCTTCAAATGCTCAATGAACTATTATTAGGGCAGGTTAATACTACCATCCTTCACATGAATCCTAAAAGAAACTGGTTTTCCTAAAGCTTAATAACAAATTCATGGAAACTGATGTTTGAACTATTGATTTCCTGATTTGTAATACACAAATCAGTACAAATGCATGTCGACTCAGACGTTTATATCCCACTGAATTCACCAGAACAAGTGGGTAAAGAACAGTTACAGGATTGTACTCTTAGACTCCTCATCAACTCTGCTATAGAGATTTAGGCAAAAACTGAGATTTGATTAGCAGTAAAGAGATAATAATGTGTTTCTATTTAAGAACTGCTATCATCTATGCAAAGAAACTAGGCCTCATTGACTCATGCCTGAATCAAACTGTCAGAAAACTTTATTTTGATATACAAATGATCCAATATTACAAACAATTACAAACAATTATAAAGCCTGAAATGGCTTTATACAAACAATTATAAAGCCTGAAATTACAAACAATTATAAAGCCTGAAATGGGGCTTCTTGGCAGCCACAGAACAAAACAAGGCAAAGGGCACAGCTGCTGTCATGGGCTACTTGAGTGACCTAGAGGAGGCTGGGAAACCATTGCACCGCTCCAGATTTTCCCAGCGCCCTTACCACAGACCCGCCTGTCAAATAAGGCGTACCTCAGTTTACGTACGCCTTGGTTTACATACTTATTGGTTTATGAACTGAAATTTGTAAAAAATTATGCCTCGGTTTACATTTTTTACAGGTAGGGTCGCTGTACGAAAAGGAGGCATTGTATCTGGAGGTTTCTAGCATCGCCCTTGTTGTTACGGCAATCCACGTTCCGGTTTATATCATTTCCACATTACGTAAAGTCCCGGATAACGGATTAATTTCGTAAATGGAGGTACTACTGTATCAAAAGGAATGAAAAAGCCTTAAGAAAGGCTTCCCCAGAAACATTTGTGACCATATCCTGGCTGCTCATCACAAGAACCTCAACCAGCCACTTTGTGCCTGTTACCAAAGCCTTTCATAGGACCTACTGCCCAAAAAGAACAAGCCAAACATCACATGGGACAGAATGCCAGTATGTACACATTTTTCTTTCCCACCTGAATGAGCTTTGCATCATGGAAGTGAAATTCAGGGTGGAAACCCAGAACATAACTAACCTTGGGACAATGGACACAAATTCAACTTAACAGATGAATGCATGATTTTCCCTTCACTCCATTTAACAGAAATTGACTGGAGGAGAGAGAGAATCCATGAAGCAGCAAGGAAAGTATCACTCTTTAAAAAATATCAGGTTTATACAAAATATACTGTTATATACGTATTTCAAGAATTTAGCCAAAGACCCATCCAACCTTTGAACACAAGCAGAGGTGCTTACCTGCAATACCATTTGATTCCTTCTGTAGATTACAGTACCACAATCTGTTCACAGGATCACATCCTTCCCGTATGGATAGCAGAGCATATTGGCCATCATCAGATATCTAAAATATAGCATAAATAGGAATTCAGATGTAAAAGTTAATAGAACTTATATTGGCCATCATCAGATATCTAAAATATAACCATATATAGGAACTCAGATGTAAAAGTTAATAGAACTTAATATGTGTCTCTTTATTTTTCAGAAAAGCATTTTTTTCCAGAACAAAACTAATCTGTAGATATGCTTGATCAAAGTACTGAACACTTAAGATTGCTAATGTCTGAATGACACATAGGAGTTGCCCCTTCTAACCCACCAGGTCATTTCCACTGTTCAGTTACAAGGAAAATATAATACAGAAACGTAAGGCAGTTGTGTATGCTGATAAGCCTTATTTGTCTGAAATTAAAATCAGTAATTCCACCCATCTAGATAGCTAACATTTTACGGATAGTCATGCCTAGCTGCAGTTGTTAAGCTAAATACAAAGTGACAGTAAAGCGTGTCAGAAATTACACTAACAGGTCTTTACTGAATGTAATTAAAAGACAGAAAAGCATTCCAAATTTGCAATTTTCTCAAAGATCAGCCAAGTGCAGATATTTTAAAATTCTATTCTATAACCCCTGATCCAGTTTTTTTTGGGGGGGGCACACATGCACTTATATACATACTGTATATGTATTTTTTTAAAAAAATGGCTTACCCTGACTACACAAGAGGTAAAGATTAAATTTTCCTTCTCCTCCTACTGTTATCCCCATAATGATCACTCAGCCCACTCCTGAATTGCTACTTCAATCCAATGTTCACGTTAGATGCAAAGATGATTTGATGTCACCTCTTATTTGGCCCTCAGTTTACAGAGTATTCACAAAGGCATTCAAAAAAGAGTATTCAAAAAGGCAAGACGCTTATTAATGCAGTCTTCTTACTTTTTATTTGCTGGCCAAATAACTCAGTGAGTGAGGTATCGACTGGGGGTTCAATTCCCCATTGTGCTTCCAGGGAAAAGAGCCAGTCTGTGTGGTCTTGGGAAGTTGCACAGTCCCAGGGCGACCCAGGCAGAAGGGGAAAGTCTGAGTATCCTGAACATGGGGAAACCCTGAAAAGGGTTGCCGTAAGTCAGAATGGACTTGAAGGCAAACAATCATTAAATTATTCTTTCTTTTTTGGTCTGGGATCAAGCAAATTAATATGTGGTTTACTAACACCCACTATAATCCCTAGATGTTTTTAATGACACTACCAGTCAGTTGTGAAATAATACAGTTAAAATGAGCACAAAGCCATAATAGCCCTATACTTTGGTATAGGTAGGTCCATGCTTTGTAGTTCTGAGTTCAATTAAGCCTCTTGTACATTCGCAAAAAAACAAAAAACAACACACACTCTGAGTTCAATTAAGCCTCTTGTACATTCACCAAAAAAACAACAAAGAAAAGAAAAACATTTTGTAAATCATCCAGAATCTCCAGACTTCTCTGCCTTTGAAAACAGCTGGCCTGAAAAGAATGCAGAAAAATTAGGTTTATAAGCCTACTGTGATGTAGTGAATGGAAAAGAAAAAGCCAGCAATATTGCAAGCGTTGATTCCAAATGCTATGGGCCATATTGTTCTGAGATAGGTTAAGAGCAGCCCTCCAGAGGTTGCTGGCCTGCAACTGCTGCCAGCTCCAAGCCAGTAGAGTCAATTGCACTGAATACTGGAAGTTGCAGCCAAATAATGCCAGAATTAAAAGCTGTTTGCCCTTGCTTTTAGAGTAATAGATAATTCAACATTAACCAAATGGTCAAATTATCCACGAAGAGACTAATGGAGACATCTGTATTACATGGTACAACTAGTATGTGTGCACAGCACTGAAAGGCTAGGGAAAAGTGATTTTTTTAAAATCTAGTTAAGTGCTGCTGCAGGGATGGCGGATGTGTTCAACTGCTGGTAGATGTCAGGTCCCATACATCAATTCACCATTGGCTGTGCTGCCTGGGGCTGGCTGGTGCTATAGTCCAAGAGGGTCACCCATTTCCCTCTTCACTATTATGACATCTAAGGCTTTGAATAAAGTAGGACCTCCATGTCTGCAGGATCAATACCTACCTTTTATATTAAATTTAAAAAAGTTTCCAATGTGAATTACGATAACTAGTCACTAGAGGGAAACAGGAGCTATGTATGTATGTATGTATGTATGTATGTCTGTATGTATGTATGTATGTATGTATGTATGCATGCATGTATGTATGAATAATAAAATACAAATAAGCAATAAACACAAAGCATAAACATACATCAAATAAAACATTTAAAAACATTCAAGGCATTAAAACATTTAAAATATTGGGCATCAAAGATAGCAAAGAAAACTGACAGGAAAAAATGATTCATTGGAAATGGAGTGCTGTGCCCTAGAGAGTTTGCATATCTGCAGTTTTCAGCATTTATTTATACTGTATATTTAAACTATTCTAACCTCCCTTTCTCCTTAAATTGGACTGCAACTCCCAGAAGCCTTCACCACCAACTGTGCTGGCTGGGGTTTCTGGGAGTTGCAGTTCAAAAACATCCGAGTAACAAAGGTTAAGAACCACTGCCCTAGAGAGTTTGCATATCTGCAATTTTCAGCATTTATTTATACTGTATATTTAAACTATTCTAACCTCCCTTTCTCCTTAAAAAGGACTCAAGGTGGCTTACAACAATTAAAGGGCAGTATTTAAGTTAGCAACAATAAAAGTACAACATTAAAGGATCAATAAATGCAATATCAAAAACCATACACATAACACCAAAACACATTCAATGCAGTAAGGTACAACAATCCATTTAACAACAACAACAACAACAACAACAACAACAACAACAACAACAACAGCCATTCACTCAGGGAAAGCTTGCCTGAAGACAAAGGTCATCCATGGGTGTATGTGTGTGTGTGTGTATGGGGGCACCGATCCCCCATGGATACTGCCATCCTACTGTCTTTTCTGGCAGATTATGCTCATCAGGGACTAGAAGAAGCCAAAAAGGCAGTGCTACCCTTCAGCTTTGGTTGCCTGGATCAGTATGAAATATTTAATAATACCGTGAGCCATGCCCCTGAAGCCAAATACCAGCTGTACAGGGAAAGGCCGCGCAAAACCTACATAAGCTTTCTAGTCGATTTTCTAAAAGCCTGCGGCTACAGAAAGCTAGCTGCACACTTTGTAAAGCAAGCTTAGTACACATTGCTGGGGTTTCTGGCAAGCAACAAAGTTCTGCCTTTTAGCAAACTGGAACCCAAAGCAGTCAATGATACCACAGCACTTGCACAGATATGAAGCAGCTCAAGATTACGAATCCATCTACAGGCCCTGAAAAGTAAAAAGTAGCAGGCCTTGAAAAGTGTATTGTTGTCAGGGTTTCCCAACACTGCCTCCGAATTGTGCCTGTTATTCAACCTGGGGTATTTTGTATGCAAACCTTTACCTCTGCCTCAGAGGTATGGCCTTTCTTCTTCTTTTTACTGATGTGTTCAATCTATATACTGCCTACTTTAGCTATAAATCATAAAGTGGTAATATAACCATTACAAAGGATGGATGTATCTAATATCCAGCTTTTGGAGGCATTCCTGATGAATATTTATATTGTCTTCTGTCAATCAAAGCAAAATAAAACTTTGAAACTTTTTTTTTTTGGTGCAGTGGTGAACAAGAACCCTTGACAGCAGTAATTTTGGGCATATGTAATGAGCGTTTACTACAGCATCTCCCACTGGGCTGGTGAGCAATTGATAGCAGTTTGCAAAATGCGATTCCCCGAACACATTTTTAATCTAATTCCCTGACACACATTGCTTGTGGGGTGCCAATTAAATCTCTCTTTTTCACTTCAGACACCTTTACATCAACGTGTTTGGAAACTCAACAGAATGCAAGACCACTGAAACAAGACAATGTTGACTGCTGCTTTCCAAAGTTGCCTTTTCAGATATTTTAGTGGTGTTTCTGTGACAGAGAAGAAAGGGGGAGAGAGAAAGAGCCAAAATATGCAGAAAATTTTAGGTTCAACTGAGAAATCAGCCTGGGAGGGAGCAGTGATTACTAAGCAAGAACCTTTCCGTAACTGAAATAAATGTCTTCTTTTGTTCAACAAGTCACAGAAACAGAAAGCAAGCAAGCAAGCAAGCAAGCAGAGGTGGTTCATACTGTTACATATATAAACCAAAACTTATTTTTTCCCATGAAGGAACACAAAATTCCCTCTATCAGACCTACAGCTTTTATCCTGAAGATTTCAAGACTGAGGATAAAATAGACCATATGAGGTAACAATGCATAAATGAACCTCATCAATATCCTTACAAGTACACTCAGGCCTGAAAACAATCTGCATTTCATTTCCAACAGAAAGCCTTGCTCCCTAGGTTTCAGAATCAATCAGAGTTCAAATTAAATGTAATTTGATTGAGATCGAGGATGAAATTACCCAGGATATTTAATTTAACACGAGAATTGTGATTAGTTGTACTGTTTTCTCTAGTCCTGTTTTCAAAGTTTATAACTGCAGTCTCTTGAGGCTTAAGATGTAGCGAGCAACTCTGTTCCCTAATAAGCAAGCCAATATGCATCTACATTTTAAGGTGTTATTGAGGGGAAAAGGAGTGACAAGAAAGGGGAAAGGGCACAAAAAAGGAAGACAATAAACTCCTTTGCATCTGTTTAAACACAGACACCATTAAATCTGAATATACACAGATACATCAACAACCTGTGTACTGTCCAATTGTGGTGCAAGAATAAAACATGGCACCACCCCTAACACCACTGCACATTTCAGTCTGATGCAGTCCCTCCTCAAGAGAGCAAGGTAGCCAAGGAGACCACCTCTGACGACAAGACCACCTTACCCAAAATGTCTAAGGGCCCTTCAGACCATGGCATCAGGTAGATGCTGCTCTCAGGAGACAAAACAAACACTCTCCAAATGTGGAAGTAGCTGGGACAGTCATGCTACCTTAAGCCCCATAAGTCTGTCTATATCCTTTATTTAATACTTTCCATTCCAAAATCCTCCCTTGGGTCAATTAGCATTTCCTGGCATCTCGTCATGGCACACATACTCTAATACCATGTTCTCTGTTTTTCTCAGTTGTCCAACTACTTTACATGCTGTGTTTTCTTCCAAGAACCTTCCTCATGGTGTACTGACCCAGATAATCTTCTTCGTTCACTCCTGCTTCTCACACTTCCAGTCTTCTTGGCAAGATGGTTATTACTGGTTTTTATTAAACCTACTGTAACCTCTAAGTTTCAGCACAACTATCCTCTGTCCTTCCTCAATAGGATGTTTGTGAAGATTCCATGTTGCCCATTTTCAGAAAGTTTGTGAAGGTTCTTAAGCATCATTAGCAGCCCATACCATCAAAGACTGAGGCTTCAAAAACTAAAAGATTCTAGCATATCACACCAAAAAAGAGGAAAAAATAAAAACAAAGAAGACAAAACCATCTTAAAGACTAACTTATATGTTTTAATGTGGCCTTTTGTGGATACGTCCACTTCCTCAGGGACTTGTCCACAAATCTTTCTCAGTGCTAAATCTAGGGAAGTCTGAGCAAAGGGTTTTCAAGTTATGATTTTTGTTAAGTAAAATTGTCCCCTCCCTGCTCAGAACCAGGCAACCCTAAACATTCTCAGGTTAAAAACAGATCACACAAATTTAAAACACCAATCATCCTTATCCTGAAACAGAATGGTTAGCCCCACCCACTTTTTTTTTGGCTTGGAAACAGTCCAAGCTGCAGGGGCTGAAATATTAATCGTCAAAAAAGATCTTTCAAAAGGGAAAAACAGCCACTGTTATATGACAGAGTTAGCCGGCAGGAGCTTTGTGAAATGACATACTGTATACAGTGGTGCCTCGCTCAACGAGGATAATCCGTTCCAGCGAAATCACTATAGAGCGAAATCCTTGTTAAGCAAAATAAAAAATCCCATTGAAACACATTGAAAACCTGTTCAATGCGTTCCAATGGGCTGAATAACTCACTGTCTAGCGAAGATCCTCCATGGGGCGGCCATTTTTGGTGCTTGTAAAGTGAGGAATCTGTCCAAAAACACAGTGGGGAGCCATTTTACACAGTGGGCGGCCATTTTGAAGCCGACGATCAGCTTTTTTAAAAACATCGTCTAGCGAAAAATTGGTTCCCGAAACAGGGAACCGATAATCAGGAAGCGAATTTTGCCTATTAAAACATCGTTTTGCGATCGCAAAAAGATTGCAAAACAGTCATCGTATAGCGGTTTCGTTGTTTAATGATGTAATCGTTAAGCGAGGCACTACTGTATATCCGTAGGTGGGAGAGGAAGATATTTAAAGAGAAAGGTGACAAAAACAAACTGAAAAGCCAGGTTTTATTTAAAGAGTAAAAACAAACAAACACCAGTTCTGCTTTAAAGAAAGTAATGGAGTGAGAGTCTTCCAGAAAGAGTAATATTTTGCTATGTATATTCAGAAAACATTCTCTTAAGGTTTCCAAGACAAGTCTCTTAACATATATTTTCAAAGGGGGGAATACTGCTCCATGTCTGATTTGAAATGAAACACTATATGCATATTGTCATTTCTAGGTCCTGCAAACTAACAGCTGAGGTTTCCTTTATTGAGACCATCTGTCTCATGTTAGGTCTTCCTCTCCATGTCCTGTGCTTCCCCCCCCCCTTTTCCCAGCAACATTGTCTTTTCTGATCACTTCTGTATTTCCATTATAGGTAAATAATAGGATATCCTCAGTATACGCATTTCTGTTCTAGTGAGAGTTCAGGCTTGATTGAGCAGCTTTTCTGCTGATCTGTAGTATTTATTAAGGCTCTTCTCTAACATCGCATTTCAAATGGGTTTATTCCCCCCCTTTTCTTCACTGTCTTTCTTTTACATAGAATAGATAATTTTGACCTTGGTTTCAAACAACAATCTTTGCTAACTCCGAGTCCTCCTCTTTTTTATTATTTCAAAAGTCAAAGGGACAATTTTTAAAAAACATGCACACAACATGTTCATTGAGCTTTCTGGCTGTTTATTTTCTTCCTCGGGTTGCCTACTCCAAGGAAAAGGTTTGGAAGTTGGAAGACAGCTTTCTGCTCTGCATTCTGCAGAGTGGGCATGGCCACATGAGTTCTCCTGAAAGGTTAAAGGGTGTACAGTGGTGCCTCGCAAGACGATGTTAATTCGTTCCGCGAAAATCGCTGTTAAACAAAAACATTGTCTTGCAAAACACGTTTTCCCATTGAAATGCATTGAAAACCTGATAATCCGTTCCAATGGGAACGGATTGTCATCATAAAGTGAAAATTGCCACAGGAAACATCATTAAGCGAAGACAGCCGTATAACGAAATAGAGACCATTAAAAGACTCGTATAGCGAAGCAAGACCAAGCTGTCAAAAACATCGTAAAGCTAAAAACAGGGGCCTAAAATTTAACCGTCTTGCGAGGCAAGGTCCCTAACATCGTAAAGCGAAAATTGCCCATAGGAAACATCATTAAACGAAGCGCAAGATCACTCCGAAAACCTCATCGTAAAGCGAATTCATCGTTATGCGAAGCAATTGTCTTGCGAGGCACCAGTGTATATGTTTCCACTCATTTACACCTTTGCTTCACCATTAAAATATTTTGGCACAGAGGGACTTTCTTAGTCTTTTTTATTTTGGATACAGAAGCACAATATCCCACATTTGTAAATCAGAGGGGTTTTTCTAAGAGCTGAAATCTACAATATTATCAATGAAATCACACTATTCATACTGTTCCTATTCCGACTGCTTCAGTGTTACCTTAAAAAAATGGGCGAGTGGAGAGCTGGCGCAATCTCTCATACATACCTGATGCTTTTCTGGGTTTTATTCTACTCTGTTCTCAGGATATGAAGCTGACTGAAACACCAACAAGTACTCTTCAAGTTTTGAGCACACTGTTTAACTCATATTTTCTGGCAGGTTAGTAACTAAACTTCATTCTGTGGTGCCCTCTACTGGAAAGTGTCTCAAATGCACTGCCTGCTTTTCAATCTCAATTCTGTCCATGCGAGGAGAGGAAAATCAGGATGGCTGTTTTTCTCTCAATGGGTATATTACATATATTGTGGATATGACATTTAACTCAGAAGGGAAGTTAAGTTGAATATTTGGATGGAAATACCTTAGGTAAAGGAGAACATAATGTAATATAAATCATTTAGCTGTGGTTCCTCTTACATCACCAATTTATACACAAACATTAAAGGAAAGGAGTACAGAGGTAGAGGTAGCATTTAGATATATTCCTCCATCTTACTTTCATCCTCATAACAACCTTAATTAAATCAGTCAGGTTGAAAGACTGTCATCTGGGCTCAAATCCTTACTCAAGGAGCTTCACAGCTGAGCAGGGATTTGGGTTTGAATCAACTCAACGCTACAGCACACTGTCCAGTCTAAACATGGTTGGTATATGGAATAGCATTGGAAAGGGAGAAGAGATTTCTACTCAGAACCCTACGTCACCCACCTAACAACAGGGATCCAGTGCACACAGGATGCACCCCCCCTTCCATATGCACAAGAATCGGATGTAGTTGAGGGACAGAAATACCCAAAGGAAAAGCTATAAATACAGTGGTGCCTCACATAGCGAGGTTAATCCGTTCCGGATTAACCATCGCTATGAGAAACATCGCTCAACGGAACAAAAAAACCCATTAAAATGCATTAAACTTGGTTTAATGCGTTCCAATGGGCCCTAAACTTACCGTTGAGCAAAGCTTCTCCATAGGGGCGGCCATTTTCGCGCCCTCGCAAAGCAAGGGCACAGCGGGAAAAGTTGCGGCGGCCATTTTGGAACCGCCGATCAGCTGTTCTCCCCCGCTTCGTTGTGCGAATATCGCTAAGCGAATCGCTTAGTGATCGTCGCACAGTGAAAAAACGCCATAGGGGCCATCGCTGAGTGAACGCTCCAGCGATGGCCCGGACCCCCTCGCTATGCGAATTCATCACTCAACGGAGCGATCGCTAAGCGAGGCACCACTGTATGGGGTAAAATTGTGAATACCTCCCAGTAAGTACAACTGGCTGACCACGGCTGGGCATGGGAATGGGAACCTTGTGCAAAGAGAGACAGAAGGCCTAAAAACCCACTTCAGCCCACCTGACCATCTGCCAAGCTTACACCATTCATGTGTACAAGTCTGCCTTCAAACAAGGTGAAGGGCATCTTACCTCGGCTCCACCCATCCATTTTGGCTCATGGGGAAATTCTGCGCATAAAACATCTGTGGACTGGTCAGTTCCCAAGACATGATAGTACAGCTTTTGGTACAAGTTGGTTGATGTTTCAGTGCCTGGAAGAGTTAGCAGATTACATATTTATGAGGCAAGAGCCAAAATCAGTCATTAGTAGTTCCAACAGTCTACAGGTTTCACACTTTTGTATTATGTATTTCATAAAGATCCCTGGATTCCTTCACCGAGATGAAGAGCATGACTTGAGAAGCCAGAGGCTGGAAATTTGATTCCCCACAATGCCTTGTAGGAGAAGAGCCAGCCTCTGTGGCTTTTGGCCTGTTACATGGTCCCAGAACATGCCCAGGAGGACATGGCAAACCACTTTGGAGTACTTAACACCTAGAAAACCCTAGACGGCTCATCATAAGTTGGAAGCAACCTAATGGCGCACAATTATTTTTTTGTATTTCATAACACTTAGCAATTGCCAGTTCTCACGTCCGAGAAGCTGCTTTATTTTGTCTTCTACGTGTTTTTCTTTGTGTTACCCACTTTCTTCAAAATATTTATCACACACTGTATTAATTTTATTTATGCTACTTTAATCAGTACCCTATTGGTGATTTATGCACGTATTAAGTGAAATCATGTATTTCTAACATGGAGTTGCTGCTAATTAACAAGACACGGCCCATGTTCCTGGCTACATACACAACAAAGAACATCACCAATAAATGTCATCCTTAGATTTCATCAAAGATAAAAAGAATATAAAGAAGTCACACAGGATGCTCCCTGTCAGAGAGACTTCTACTGGAAAGTAAAAGCTCATAATGGTTTACTTTTTTAAAAAAAAGCAGAATGAAAAGTCTCAGGAACCAGAGAAACTGGGGCTAAGCAAGGCAGGATATCTAAAAGATGGGAGCAGAGTTAGCAGCAAAAAGAAACCTGAAGAGAAGCAAATGAAGGAAACAAAAGCCTACAGACATGAAGGGCTGGGACAAGGAACAAAGCTGAAATCACTCACCATCACTTTTGCCATCTTGCTTTGGGTAGCAGTTGTAGAACATGCCCTTGCCATCGTGGGTCCAGGCCATACAACTAAACTTCACCATTTCCAGTGTGTCTGGAAGTTCCTCAGCTCCATCCACCTTCATAAATTTGATTGTTACCCAGTCTGACCCACTGGAACTCAAACCATATGCAAAATATTCACCATCTTCACTGAACGCGTAACCTACAGATTAAAAACACGGCATGAACTAATTGTTCATATTTTAAAAACTGATGTTCTCTTTTTGATTATTCTCCAGGACACGCATGGGGATGTTCTGGCATAGCCACACATGCCTATATATTGACCCATCTCTTCTTAAATTGTTTTTTAAACCAACGTGGCTCTAAAACTTTATTCATGGGCTGACATCTGGTAGTAAGTTATGACTAGAGCAGGCCCATTGAATCAACTGAATCTACAGATTCACCAAATCTCCACTGATTCATTGGTCCCACTCTAGTTCTGACTTATTACCAGATTTTGGCCATTGTGTTTTAACATTATACATTTTTGCCTGCTTTATCAGAACCTATTTTCAACCTAAGTATCCAAACAAGTAAATGTCCCTCATCCCTACTGTTGTGCTTATCTTCAACACTCGGGCAACAGTTCAATGTAAAAGGTGCACATCTTCAAACGATTCTAAACACACCATAGGTACATATCCATATCTATTGCTGCAGACATGTTTACAAATAAGAGACAAATGGTGGCCACCCCTACAAAATATTTTGCACTGACCTCGCAAAGCCACAGTACCATCATCAGAAAGTTTATTTGGGTCTAGAAATACTTTGGCATCAACGTCCAAGGAGTCTTGCACGTATAATACTCGCTGATTCTGAAGTCCAGAATTGTAAAAATGAAAATACCTGGAACACATTTTTGAAAGGAGATATATGAACTTGTTTTAGTTTTAAACACAGCTCAAATTTGAATACAGAATCATATGGGCAAACAGGCTCAGGAATGGGGGTAGATTTAAGCAACAAGAAAATGGCCCTAACATTTTGGATGGATAAAATGCAATCTCTACCATTCAAAAGTTAGCATAGAATTCACTAGTCCCTATGAGAACAAACATTGCAAAGTCACTTTATGCAGTATGTGCTTCACAGGTACCATACATCTCCTCAACTCAACATGGTGTCAAAATTAGTGCTATAACACCCAAACGCAGCACAACAGTAGCATAGCAGTGGATGAAAAAAAAACAGAAGTCCCTTCCCCCATTTCTGTGTTGCCCTTAAAAGTAAAGCACAGCTTTTTCATCCATTTAGAAACGTTTTTCCTTAATTTCCGTGGCCCAGCAGCAACTTTTCCTCCTGCCACAGTAATTTGGAGGGCAAATGAGTCTTGCCTCCAGTCCTTTACCTACTCAGATTTAACAACTGTTTGTTAGAGGGCACCACCTTTTTTCCTAAAGAAAGTCCTACTGTATTCCCTTAATAGCTCTGGCAACTGCTTCTAAAATATGTTTTCGAACTGCTTCCTTACCTGCTGGCTTAATTGCTGGAGCATCTGGTGTATGATAATTTACAAAGGGAGGGGTTTTGCTTAGGGGCAACCTAAGGCAGGGAAAGCAGACTTTATATTGCAGGACCTACTTTGTTTTTCATCAGATTTTTCAAGATCCGCCAGCCATAGTACTAAATTATAGCTTAGGAAGGCGAACATAGAATCATGAAACAGAGTCATGAAACAGGTGCTTATTCAGCCCAGGAGTTTGTTTTTACCACTAAAAAGGTGCTCATATATGGCTTCTTTTATTCACAAATATAATCCACTTTTCTCACAAGCCCCTTCTCCTTTTGGTAGTCTAATTTAAGAAGAAAGACTTTTGTCGTCACTATTATTAAACCATTTTGAGTGGGAAGGCCTTCCTGCCACACTGCAAACCACCCAGAAATCATGTATTGCACCATGATTTACCCCCCTTCCCCTTGATGTTCAGTTTCCATTTAAAAACAAAAACAAACAAACAAAATCATTTCTAGAAAAATCAGGAAAAGGACTTATGGTCATTGAAACTGCCCAGAGTAGACCTTTGGTCTAGATGGGTGGGATAGAAATCTAATAAATAAATAAATAAATGAAACAATACAAAATAATATAAAACCTTTTCTGACTGTCACACTTCCATCCAAACTACAGAATACACTTAATGTGCAACTTTATCTCTCTTTTGACTGTCAATAATTACAGGAGTGGAAAACAGACCTTATCCTTCCCAATCAAAATGAAAAACCCTCCCAGCATAGCCATAATTTTTAGGAGACAGGGAAAAAAATCCATCTGGGAATTTTTCCCGAAGCATTCAGACAGAGCTGAAGCACCTGTAATTTAAGTTCTAATCATGCCAGGAAGGGACTTCCCTCCCCTCCGGAGGCACTTCCTCTGACGATTCCCCTTCTTGTGCACACATGTCATTGAAGTATAATGGGAGCTCTAACTACATGTTGCACATTAAACAGAATACATAGTTTGGTCTTTAGAGACACAAGAGAAAATATAAGCACAAGCTGTAAGTAACTGCATTGTTAAAAAAAAAAGGTAAGCCTCTTCACACTTCCAGTTGTTTCAAAGGGAACAGCAGCATTGTAAAGGCTCCGCAGCAGCAATATCTTTCTTTAGTTCATTCATTAACCAATAAAAAGGAGGGCAAGCTGCCGGCTTGTACTTTTCTTCATTGTGAGCTACAGCAGCTACCGTTCCTCCTCAAGTCCCATGCACCAATTTTTCAGACTTAGGATTTAATTGACAAACACACAGTATACAGTGGTGCCTCGCACAACGGGCGCCTCGTAGAGCGATGAATTCACTCTACGAGGCTGGTTTTGCGATCGCAAATGTGATTGCAAAACGGTGCCTGCATAGGGCGAAAATTGCAGAGCGAAGGTCGGTAAACGGTTCGCTTACCGACCTTCGCTTTGCGACCCGCCGATCAGCTGTTAGGCGGCTTCAAATGGCCGCCAGAAGCCACAAAATGGCCGCACGCAGTGTTTTTGCGGCCTTGTTAAGCGAGGGGAGGGCGCGAAAATGGCTGCCAGCCATGGGAGAAACATCGCTGTATGGTGAGTACAGCTGCCATCGCTGTATGGTGAGTAAAGCTGCTATTCGAATGGCTTTTTTTGATCTGTACAGCGATGTTTTCACACAGCAAGGGTTAATCTGGAACAGATTAACCTCGTTGTGCGAGGCACCACTGTACATTATTCTGACTTAAAAATCAGCACAAAACTTATTATTCTCTCTCTCTCTCTCTCTCTCTCTCTCTCTCTCTCTGTGTGTGTGTGTGTGTGTGTGTGTGTGAGAGAGAGAGAGAGAGAGAGTCACTTGATCTACTAGCTGATATATTTGTGGAAAGTCCTTACAGACCTTTTCCCTTTCCGGAAATGACAACTGTACTTGGGGTAGTCATACAGTTCAGTCATCCGCTCCTTAAACTGTCCTCGGATAGCACACTGCTCAAGAAAGGGCACCGTTATCTTGTTTTGTGCCTCCACGAAAGCCTAAAAGGGAAGGAATAAAGCATATCAACAGTAAAATAAAAATCTCATAAACAACACTGGCTGTTCTACTGGTCTTCTACTTTGATAGTAAAGGAAAAATATTGGGCAATCATTGGGTGTTACTTCAGAATCACTGTTTGAAAACAGACCAAAAGGAACTATGTACATATACTTTTTTCAGGAATATTGCATCTAATGCCATTAAGAGAAAATGATGCTCCATTAGAAATTTAAAAATATCACATCGACATTAAATTGGCTAGGTCAGGATAACAGCCTGCCACTTTTCCCCATTACACATTTTGAACTCCACCAGAGTTTGCAAAAATACTTGGAAGTTTAAGACGGATTCTCGCGGTGAGATGAGCAGGCTAGCAAAAGCAATTTAGTCACTTCTCATCCACAACTTATTGCTTGTAAACCTGCTTTTCAACACCACAGAAAAGGACAATTGGTAAAGAACAGAAAATGGCTACACTATTTTCTTAACTAGAAGCAATTCACTTGAAGCAATTCACCAACCAGATTTATACTAACTGCATTCGTTAGTTAGCCATGTGGTCAGAACTGACTTACAGCAACACTAATAGGGTTTTCAGGGTGAGGTATTTAAGGAGAGGTTTTAACCATTCTACCCTCCTCAGTGTGTTTCCTTGGTCAAGCAGAGATTTGCATCCTGGTCTCCAAAGTCCTAATCCATCACTCTATCTACTGCATCACACTGAGTACCAACTGCATTATACCAGCACAAAGTGTAGTAGGATTTTCGCCATATATTCTGAAATACTGTAGGCATGTTTTACTACTTCTCTACCAGACCCAAACAGAGCCATCAAAAATGTGGGTAAAGAAGTTTAAAAGGTCTTAATCTATATTTAGCCATCGCAGATATGAACTATGATTTGTTTTATTAGACCTATTTGATCTAAAGTCAGCTGAAAATTCCAAAAATTGCTTCCTGTATATTGCACCAATTACTTGGGGCCAAGAACAGAAATGTTTTTATCACCACTGAAGTGAGAGCAAAGACTCTGAACCACGTTCCTGACAATGCACATGTGAAGACAGAATATGAGACCCCATAAAAATATACTTATTGCCTTATCAATATATTCTCCACATAGAGATCCTTAACTATCACCACTTTCTCTGCAAAATTTATAAATACAGTGAACAAAATCTAAGCAGACAACAATACGGTCAGGAAGACACATAATATATTAGCTCCCCTATAAAAGTAAGTGGCAGTTTCTACAACCCAGTTTATGCCATTAAAAGAGTTCCCTTGAGAATACAATACCATTCCGTTCCAACTCAACTGACAGAATAAGGAAAAACAACTTGTACAACAGCAAGACATAAAATGAAGATTCATGTCTCAATCAGTCAAATGAAAATGATGAACAGTCAAATGCTCAGTACTTACAGAGGGAAGGGCTTGCTTTCTTTGTTTTACATTAAATAAGTAATCCTATTTTAATAGTAGTTTGATAGTGCAACTGAATTTAATTCTATTGCAATATTTGATCTTTTATTGTATTTTATTCGGTTGTGGTTTTAAATTGTCTTATAAGCCACCTTGGGTTTCAATTCTGGAAAAAAATACAGCATAATAATGAAACAAAGAAGAAATAAAGAAGACATAACTAATAGCTGACACAGGGAGTTGCAACATAGCTATAAAGCGCTAGCTGATATCTTGTCTCTTTAGACAAGAGCAGTAAGGGCAGTAATGGCCAGCATGGTTGGCAAACACCAGGATAGTCTCTCTCTTTATTGCTGTAGTGCTTTCTTAATCCATGATGGATGTTATCATCTACAAAGGTCATTGGTGTTTATTTTGTTAATTACTTCTATGCTGGTAACCAACCTTGTTTCGTAGTTTCCCATTCTAGCACAAAATGTTGTACCAAAACTGATCCTTGAAGAACAACTACAAATACTTAAGGAACCCTTTTCTGATACAGTAATGCAGACAGGTCTTAAAGACTACTGAAATTCAGCAGCACCCCTTCACTGGATGAAACATTTTACTAGATATACTGTAGGCCGAGATTTTGCACGCTGCTTATAAAATATTATGTATCAATTCAAGAGGCAGCAGGTAAGCCTGAAACAAACTACAGTATAAGCCACTTCAGATGTAACAATTTCAGTTTAATAAAGCATGGTTTATCTGGCAAAAGGCAATGTGGCATCCACCTGGATCTCCTCCAGGTTTTCCTTGTAGTCTAATTAAGTCACTGTGTCTCCCTCTGTATTCTTTAATAGAAGATTTAATAGAGGTTTGGGTTTTGTTTTTGTTTTTTTACAAATTTTACAAATTCTTTGCTGGATCCCTTAACACAGCAGGGGTAGGTTTCCCACCCTAACCTTAAACTCAGTAAGATCTGATCATGGTTGCAGTCTGCAGATTTCTTAGGCAGGGGACACTGAAATGTCACACATGAAAAGGTCACCACAGTCAACAGACAGAGACTTATCTGGAAGTACACCCCCATACAGTCCTGACCATTCAATTATAGCTCAATGGTTTAGGTATCTGGCTGTGGAGCCAAAGGTTGGGAGTTCAATTCCTCACTGTGCCTCCTGTGAGTAAAGCCAGCCTGATTTCCCCAGAAGAAGGGAATGGGAAACCACTTCTGAGTATTCTCAACCTAGAAAATCCTAAAAAGGATCACCATAAATGAGAATTGACTTGACAGCACATGATTATTATTACTATAATGATAGAGCAGATTCTCGATCAGACTCGTTATCCATATTATTTCAAGAGTACTGTGTCCAGTTCTAGGCACTGCAGTTTAAGAAGGATATCAAGAAGCTAGAACATGTTCAGAGAAGGACAACCAGGATAGTAAGAGGTTTAAAAAGCAAACTCTAAGAGGTTGAGGGAATTTGGGATACTTAAGTCTTGTGGCTGATCATGGAACAAAGGAAGGCTAATTGCCTTAGAGAAAGAACAGTCGACAACAGATGTCCAATGTCCAAGTCAGCTGAGCCTACAGGCAACGCCCTGAGAGCTCTTTTATTTACTTAGCATGATTTACAGAGTATGTTGTGAGAGAGACAGATAGGATACTAGTTACCTAATCATAATCAGGATTGGCTGAAATAATCCTTTGATCTTATGCACTACTTCTAAGCGAAAGGGCAGAATAAGGGGTTCTTCTGCCCTTTCTGCCAGGAGTGCATGCACATCACTGGAACAGAATGCAGCTACAACCTTTAAGCAGAAGTTTCCCACATAGTCTGGAGAAGAGTAGGCTGAGAAGTGATATGATGACCATCTTCAAGAATCTGAAACGTTGTCATGTGGAAGATGGCTTGTTTTTCTAGTGGTTCAAAAGGACAGGACCAAAATGGCAATGCATTTATATTCTGAGAAAAACAGATTTCAACAAAATGTTAGGAGGAAATTCCTAACAATGTGAGCTATTGGACAATGGAACTGACTGCTTCGGAAAGAAGACTCTCCTTCCTTGAAGATTTTTAAGGACAGGTTGGAAGGCCACCTATCCGGAATGCTTTAGCTGTAAATTTCCTGCCCTGGCAGGGGGCTGGACTGAATAAGCCTCGGGGTTCCATTTAACATTTTCTCTTCCTAAGCTATTCAGTTTAATAAAGCATGGTTTATCTGGCTTTATCTATTCCTAGATCCTGAAGCTGAGGCTCCAGTACTTTGGCCATCTCATGAGAAGAAAAGAGTCCTTGGAAAAAACCTTGATGTTAGGAAGGTGTGATGGCAAGAGGAGAAGGGGACGACCGAGGATGAGATGGCTGGACAGTGTCTGCGAAGCAACCAACATGAACCTGACACAACTCCGGGAGGCAGTAGAAGACAGGAGGGCCTGGCGTGCTCTGGTCCATGGGGTCACGAAGAGTCGGACACGACTAAACGACTAAACACACACAAGCTATTCCTGCTTAAGACCTTGACTCAACCTACACTGTCTTTAATGACTGAGAGCTCAGCTCAGCTAACTCATTTGATTAAATCTTTCTTTGTCCAACAAGTAATTCTAGTACAACACACATTAAATCATCTTATATAAAGGGTAGGATGCACCTATTCGCATTGCAGCATTGTACAACTGCGAAGCAACCAACATGAACCTGACACAACTCCGGGAGGCAGTAGAAGACAGGAGGGCCTGGCGTGCTCTGGTCCATGGGGTCACGAAGAGTCGGACACGACTAAACGACTAAACACACACAAGCTATTCCTGCTTAAGACCTTGACTCAACCTACACTGTCTTTAATGACTGAGAGCTCAGCTCAGCTAACTCATTTGATTAAATCTTTCTTTGTCCAACAAGTAATTCTAGTACAACACACATTAAATCATATAGAGGGTAGGATGCACCTATTTGCATTGCAGCATTGTATTTTCCCATCTGTGTTAGAAGAAGAAATTAGGAGAATCTGAACAGTAAGGATGAATATACAGTGGACCCTCGACTTACGAAGGTCCCTACTTATGAAAATTTTGAGGTACGAAAAGCTCTGGCCGCAAAATTTTAGTTCGACTTGTTGCCGGAGCTTCGACCTAAGAAAGTCAGGGGGAAAGGGCAGGAAATTCAAAGCCGCCACCGCTGCCCTCTGCCTACTGTCCCTGCTACCCTCTGCCATCTGTCCCCACAGCAGAGGGGGTTTTGAAGCCTGGGAAGCCGAAAGCCAGCAGCGGGTGCAAAGTGGCTCCACTTTTTAAACAAATGTCTTACTACTACCTGCTTTAGGCATTCTGGTACAGTGGACCTCGACTTACAAAGGTCCCTACTTATGGAAATTTTGAGGTACGAAAAGCTCCGGCCACAAAATTTTAGTTCGACTTGCAGCTGGAGCTTCGACCTACGAAAGGTGGGGGAAAGGGCGGGGAATTCAAAGCAGCCCCCCCACTGCCCTCTTGTCTCCTGTCCCCGGTGCCCCCTGCCTCCTGTCCCCACAAGGATGGGAGGCAGAGGACAGTGGGGACAGAAGGCAGAGGGTAGCGGGTGCAGCTTTGGAAGCCCGGGATTTTTTTCTTTCTTTGCCTGGAATGGATTAAATGGTTTTCAATGCATTCCTATGGGAAATGGACCCTCGACCTACGGACTTTTCGACCTGCGGCCACCGTTCCAATACGGATTAATTCTGTAAGTTTAGGGTCTACTGTAGCCATTGTACAGATACTGCCATGTCAGTTCTTATTGCCAAATGAAGGATTACAGAAGTACACAAGTAATCTGTTTCAATACCAAAGCCATGCCCTGCTCCAGATACAGAGTAAATGAGGAAAAGAGCTGAAGAATAACCTGGCCAAACAATAACCCCAAACAAACAAAAAAAGACAACAAAAAACAAAAAAACTGGAAGAGAAGACCAGTCCGGCAACTTCCAGAATTAGAAATGGCAGGGCTATCATATCAAGTAAGTTCCTCCTTTAATATGAGCCTACCCAAAGGAAAAGCACTACTACCACTGTCTCCTCATACCCCTCGCCTACATGCATCCTCATGTGTCCCAATACACCCTCCACTCTGTGAAGGGTGTATTGGGACACTTCTTCTTCGTCCACAATCAGTGTCATACCAAGCACTAAATATGAAACCAATGCATCTACACTATGTCTTTTACTTGCATGCTTCAGCACATGCACTGTAAATATGCTCTCCCAGTATGAATCCTACAGTTGCATAACCTGACTCCATTTAATCAGAAGCTTATGAACTTAGGGTTCCCGCTTGTGAACCCTAAAGTGACAAAATTACTGTAGCAGGTAATAATAGTTCCACAGCGTGAGGCCGACGACATCATCTGCAAGAACCTTTTTTTTTTAGAAATTAAACATTTCCACCTCCTATTCTGAAGCCTTAATGGGACCTGAGCAATCCCTTTCATCATTGGGAAGCTGTGGAGCCACAGGACAGGATGGGGAAGTCTTTAATTATTGGAAATGGCTGGTGAAACTCCATGGGTTCCCAACAATGAAAAACTTTACTTAGGACCTGCTAGGGCCTCAAGACAAGGGGAAATATTTAAATTTCCAAAAACTGCCCCCAATGATGATGTCACTGGCTTTACACCATGGAACTTACATGAATGTGATTTCTGCCAACATTCAGGCTGAAACTGATCATTCATACAACATGGCCATACATTTCTTCTGAAGACATACTACGAGACAAATACTACATTTGAACAGTATGTTGCATTTCTAGTTTGCCAAGCCAGCTCCTTTCAAATGTCCAGAATCATAAAGGTTTACCTTTGTTTGTTCACTATCAGGATCTTCAAGCCAGCTATATGGATCACATACTTTGCAGCCATGATAGTCTTGCACCTGTGGGATTTTTTTTGTAACAAAAGACATATTTAAATTTTTAATGCACTTTATAATCACTTGGCATTAGAAGATGTACATACAGCATTATATTTCATAAGAAGTGGAGGATGTAATTAAAGCAAAAAGCAATTTCATCTAGCTATCTGAAAGCAAAGCAATAGCACTATTTTGCATGTAGCCACACTACAAGCACTTCTGTAGGATCTGTAAAAAGGAAAAAGAAGAAGCATGGGACTTTTGCACACTGTTCATGTATCACAACATTAATCACTCCGAAGAAAGCAGGAGTTTACACAATTTTAATTTTAAAAGATTAACAAGCTGCAAGTCTGAAGCAAAACTATTAAACATTAATGGCCAAAATCCTATTGCTTAGAATATTAAATGGCACCAGAGTGCAAATTTAGTGAGTCAACTCCTCCGTAAGTTCCACTGATTCAAATAAACCTACTCTAACTGTGACTTTATTTAGCACAGTAAGTCAAAGTAGCCCCATTTGAATCAAAGGAATTTACACAGGTATTGATATTAATCCCCATTAATTCAATGGCCCTACTCTGGTGCAATTTACTACACTAAGCTATAGGATTTTGGCTATTATCTACTGGTGTTTTTGTCTATTTATTAATGTTGTCCAACCCGTAGTCTCTGTTTAATTCCATTTTCTCATCACTCAAAGGGAGAAAAGATCTTTGAGCATATTGCTAGATCATGCAAGTGATTTGCATTTTAAATTGAAGGGCAATCTCTAACCAAATCAAATCTTCTAAGAGGCATTCTATGCCTTGACACTCACACAGCAGCCCAAAACGCAAAGGTGGAGAGATGCTGCTAAGAGCATGTAAGAATGTTTAAGCCACAATGCTCTGTCAGCAGAATTGCAAAGGTTTGTTCTGTAAATTCCCATGCACTGAATGGGACTTACTCCCACTTAGATTTGCAGCCTTACTCTGTTAGGAGGTGATCTGCTAAACTGACTTAGTAGTGATAGTGATCACAAAGGAAAAACTAGAATGCCTTTATTAAAGCAGGTGTGGCCAAAGTATAGCTCCATGGTTGCTCTATTGAACCACCACTCCCATCAAGTTGTAGTCTGCATAATTCTGTTGCAAACCACCCGGAGATGCTCTAGCATTATGGGGCAGAAGATAAATGGAAACAACAACAGCTGTAACCAGCATAGCAATAGTGAGAAATCCTGGGAGCTGCGAGCCAATATCTGGAGAGCCATACTTTGTCCATTCCATCATTAAAGTGAGAATTTTTCACTGTTGAGAAGCCTACAACCATTTTAATGGCTTCCAAAAGACTGTCCAAATCGTAGAATAATCTTAGAACTGAAGAGCTGAAGGGGACCCTATGGATCATCGAGTCCAGCCCCTGACAGGCACTGGGAAATCACAACCTCTGGCCCTGCAGATACCCAAGCCACAGAGATATCCAGTGGTTTTAATGCTGTAATCTAAACTGAATCCCCAATGACTATGGCAATAAAATGCTGAGGGAAAACCAGTTTGCAAGCTTTCACAAACCCTCACTTCAGCATTTTTCCCTAGGTTTTCAGGTGGAGTTCCAAGGCAGAGATTGCCAGGCTTTAAAGACAAGACACCTGTCTGCTCAAATGTGGCCAGTAATTTTCCACGGTGGACCAAGTGGGAAAGCTTTTGCAAAATGGAAAAGTTTGTTTATTCAAGTTGTCAAATCCTCAGTGAAGGATTTTCACTGGGGAGTCTGTTGCCTACATCTCTGTCAATGTTGTGGGCTGACAATTTTTTGTACAGTTATTTGCAGAAGTCAAACTAAGGACCTGTTCTGATGCTGTGGTGTGTATTAGATCTTCCACACGGACCAAGTGGGAAAGCTTTTGCAAAATGGAAAAGTTTGTTTATTCAAGTTGTCAAATCCTCAGTGAAGGATTTTCACTGGGGAGTCTGTTGCCTACATCTCTGTCAATGTTGTGGGCTGACAATTTTTTGTACAGTTATTTGCAGAAGTCAAACTAAGGACCTGTTCTGATGCTGTGGTGTGTATTAGATCTTCCACACGCTCCATAAGACGCACCTTTCCATAAGACGCACCAAATTTTTAGGAGAAGAAAACAGGAAAATATAATCTGTTTTCTTCACTCCATAAGACGCACAGACTTTTCACCCCCCTGTTTTGTGGGGGGAAAGTGCGTCTTATGGTGCGAAAAATACGGTATATCTTCCACATCTCTGCTGAACACAAGATGCTAAAAACATCCGCTACAGTTAATAACTGAAGTTTTGCAACTCAAGACTTCCCATTTCTCAGACTCCTTGTGTCAGAGAAACAAGTCTACAAGTGTTAGAAACTTTAAAAAAATGAGCACATTCACATAAGTATGAGATTGCCACAGGGAGTGGAAAACAAGGACTGCTTCAAAATAATACAGGAGAAGGAGGCACCAAAAATACCTCAATGGCTTCTGCAGAAGGGATTTGATTTGATTTGATTTGATTGCCTGATATGTTATATCTCTCATAGTCATAGGTCAGGCGCTAAGTATTTCAGATATGTAGCTATCTAGGCAAGCAGGTAAGTTGACAGATCTAATGTGCAATGTGTAAGAATTCTTCAAGATGTCATGCTCTTACTGAAAGGAATATATAATTCCTCAGTTTTAAACATAAGGTAGCACAAAGCAAGATCACAAATGTTATGCACCAACTGGAAACATGTGGAACAGCCAGTAACAATGGTGGGCAAAAGCGGCCTTCCAGATGTTTGTAGACTACATAATCCCTCACCATTGCCTAAGATGGCTAGGGCAGTTGGGAGCTGTTCCCCCATTCAATGAGGGTGGGTGGGTTACAATAGCTCAACTCTGATCTACAGAGACCTGTCCCTCAAATAATAGAATTGAAGCTGAAAGGGATCATGAGGTAATCTGGACTCTATTCCTCAAGGCTGGCCAAAGACATTTCAGTTGAGGCCATGGGAGCTAACCAGTCATGCATACTGTTCTTACTTCACGGCTTACTTCAGCCCCACAATGTGTACTAAAGAAGATCTATTAAATGGCTAAGGTCATGCTATTGAAGTGACCTGCTTCTGGTCTACTTTAACATTTCAAATCTGTTTGAACTTTATATTTCATATCTGTCCATAATTTTATATTGTGCATTGCTCTGATATGAATAAAGAAAGTAAGACTTCAGCACTGGCAACAGGATAATGTCCTCCACACCCTTGAGGGGTGCACATTAGTTTAGGAAGGCTGCTGTACAAAGCTTTGTCCCCCAAAGTAAAGGAACAGGTGAAGGAATGGGTAACCAGATGGGCTTTCAACAGTAGTGGCTGTTTCAGCCTATCTAATGGCTGAGCTGGCGCAAGCCAGGATTCCCCTGTTATAAAGAACTACCATTTACCCAAACACCATCCCCAGCATCACAACCCAGGGCGCTGTGAGCCACAAGCAGCAAACCACCACCACCACCACCACCCAAAGGTGCTTAGAAAGCATGGCCACTCACATCCTGAAAGAAGCCCCAGGGTTGTTAGGTGATGAAAGCATCCCTCCACCCTTGAACAACAGGTTTGCTTCACTTCAGGGCTTGACAAGATTACAAGGTGGCAAAGCCAGGCTTTGAAGACTAGTTCCCATACTTTTTTTTCCTTTTCGCAAATGCAGCAAACTTTCCCAGATCAAAGAACATAACATACGAATCACAGTGTGTCACTCTTGCCAAATAGATGCCACTTCCATGCTTTAGTCAACCACAGTAGATAATAAGTACAGAGCAGATAATAAGTACACCTAAATATCAAGACTAGTGTGAAGATATAAGCACCTTATCCTTTAGAGTCCAAAGAGTATCTCTATTATACTAAAATCTCAAGACACTACTCATTCACCACCTTGGTCATACTGGGACTGTGTTCAGCGGCAGAGCTCATGGCCACCACACCTGCCCTAATTTTTTAACTGTGCTTCTCCCGCCCCCCCCTTTCCATTTTCCTGTTTCTTCACTCATCTCTCTCCATTTTTCCGTCAAAACGTTCTGCGGCGCCCCAAAGGCTGCCCACTTTGGGGGACCTTCTGACAGGTCCAAATGAAGGCACTGCCCTGTTTGCGCCCCCGCCCCCCCCCCCGCGCGCCCAGGACTGTCATGTTGCAAAAGATCCGCGCGCCTGAAGAGGGCGCTAGGGGCAGAAAGCCGGACGCGAAGAGCGGTCCCACCTCTAGAGGGAGGGAGGGAAGGAAGGAAGGAAGGAAGGAAGGAGAGGGAGAGAGAGAGGAAGCAGCCCCGAAGCCCCCGGGGCAGAGCAGGCACGGGGGGACCAAAGGGGCGAGTGGAGGGGAGCTGCTCCCGAGAAAGCGGGGGCGCAGCGGGGCGGCTGGGAGGCAGGAGGACCCCGGGGATCGGGACTCACGGAGGTCTCTTCGCGATACACCTCGGGATACTGGAAGACCTGCATGCTTGCTGGCGCTGCCGGTGGATGGCCAGGAAAGGCAGGCGCTTTGGGCGGACGGCGAAGGGGCGGGAGGCAGGAAGAGGAGGGCCCGGGCAGGGCGAGGCGAGGCGAGGCGCGGCCCAGCGCCTCTC